AGCAAGAATTTATTTTTCGATATTTTGGCTAATTTTACCTTTTTCTGATATGGTCATCTGTGTTCAAATTCTGAATTCAATTCTCTCTACGTTGTTCTCAACAGAGTGTTAACCACAAGCATTGTAAACCAATATTAAATAAAAATACTTACGAAAAAGAGTACCATTCAGATTAAAAGATTTAAAAGAAAGAAAGAGCCAAATATTGCATTCTTTGTGAGGCTGAAACTTAACTTAGCGCGCGAAAAGCCAAACAACTTGACGCCACAACCATGTTTACATACTCTCATGCAAACACTCCTCTCGGCCAATCAGAGCGCGCGTACTATCTTAGTTATTTTATAAATACAAATAAATGAAATTTAAAAAAGAAATTCGTAATATGGATGAGGACTAGATAACATGATAAAGAAGAAAGAATTAAACAAATAACAAATTGTAAAAGTAGAAACAAGCAAGGAAGAATTTGTTTTTCGATACTTTTGGCTAATTTTACCTTTTTCTGAAATAGCCATCTTCTGTGTTCAAATTCTGAATTCAATTCTTGCTACTTTGTTCTCAACAGAGTTTTAACCACAAGCATTGTAAACCAATATTAAATAAAAATACTTATGAAAAACAGTATCATTCAGGTTAAAAGATTTAAAAGAAAGAAAGAGCCAAATATTGCATTCTTTGTGAAGCTGAAACTTAACTGCTTCAATCAAAAATCTGAATACGACTGTTTCCGAAGTCAGACACAACTATTTTATCATCACTAAGAAGTGCTACTGAGACTGGTCTATCAAACTCTCCCATCCCGCTTCCTGTTGTTCCAAACTTAGCGACAAACTTCCCACTCAGATCAAACACCTGAATCCTGTGATTGTAAGTATCACAAACCATCAGGTGCCCTGCTTTGTCCATGGACAAGCAGTGAGGTGAGTTAAACTCCCTGTCTGCATTTCCCTTCTTCCCAAATTTGTAAAGAAAATTACCCTCTCTATCAAATAATTTTACAGAATGGTCACGATAGTCTGATACTATAAGATAGTTGTCATGTTGAATACAGTGATAGGGTTCAGTGAAACAGCCCTTTGTGCCAAGTTTATGTAAAAACTGTCCATCAGCGGAAAAGATCTTAATTAATTTGTTTTTCCTATCAGCTACAATGATATTGCCATCACTGGCAATAGATAAACCAGTAGGAAAGTCAAGTTGGTGATCAAGACTTCCTTTTCCCCCAAAGTTGCGAAGGTAATCTCCCTGTCTATTCAGTTCTTGGATCCTACTGTTTTTACTTTGTTCTGCCACAATAATATTACCACCGTGAAAAACTATTCCACAAGGCCAGTCAAACTCACCGTGCTGAGTACCATGTTTACCAAAAGATTTAATATGAGTTCCATCGCTCTTGAATAAATGGATCTTATGGTTACCAATGTCACTCACTGCAATTTCATCTTGTTCATTTACTGCTACCCCCCAAGGCTTCTTCAATATTTGTTCTCCAAAAGATAACACAGGTCTGAACTGTCTGGGTGTGACTTGAACCTCAAAAGGACTGCCACGGATATGTTCTCCATTAACCTTCACTGATGCACAGCATGTTCCTGTTTCTTTGGCAAAGTATTTGATCTTGTAAGTCCCATCTTTGTTATCTTGGACTTGCACTTCAACTGCGCAGTTATCGCCTTGACGATTACTGATTTCCAGTGTGACACAGTCATTATTATAACACTGATGACATTTCTCGTTTCTTGTTGTCACAACAAGATGTCCTTTAAGTCCAACAATTGCCTCACTGATTCCTTTTCCATCAGCACTCGATTGTTGCGCCCTTGTCTGACTTTCTTCCAGGGAACCAATTTGTTCAACGCTTACGAGATCAAATAACTTGTGATTCTTCACAAAATCAAATTTCTGACATGGACAGTCATCACGATCACTTCCTTCTTCTTGGTTCTTTTCTTCCTTTAATATTTTGTCCATCAGCTCGTTCGGTTGTATGAGTTGTGCGCTTGTGCTTCGCTTTAAAAGTGTTTCAGTATCTTCTATTTCTGATTCATATCGTCTAGCCTGTTCTTCAAAATCCTCTTTTTGCTTTCCAATTTCTTGAAGAGAAGCTTTTGTCCTTCGTTCCACATCATCAAAGATCTCCAGTTTCTTTGTTTCAATGGCTGCATGAATGCTGTCAGCATACTCTTGTACGTTTCTCTTCAAACGAGCGGCTTGTTCTTGAACTTCATTATGGTATTTGTCAAGCTTGGTGATTTTGCTTCTCTTTGTTAGAGCTCTTTTTCTCTGAGATTCAATTGCAGATTTAACTCTTAACTTCCGCTCATCTGCAGCTTGTTCCAGAAGAATCTTTCCGTGCCCTTCATGATTCGTTAACGCACAAGCGTTGCAGATTGCGACTTCGCAGCTATTACAGAAGAATTCTTTTTCTTTTTTCTCGTGGCCTGGTATCCCACAAAATGCTGGCCGCTTTAAAATGTTCTCATAGTCGTGATCTTGAAAGTCTTCCAATGCCAGCGCATAGTGATCTTTATTGGCTTTCATCCCATTGTGGAAAGTGATACACTCTCCGCACCAGAAAGCACAACACTGGAAACAATAATGGCTTTCTTTGCTTCGGTTGTCACAATTTCCACACTTAACTCTAGTGGTGCTGCACTCCTTTATAGCTAATACATCGAGCAAGCTGTTAATGCGAAAATTTGTTGGCAAAGCTGCTAGGTTTCCTTTATCAGGGACCTTGAATTCCTGTCTACACTCCGGGCACGCAATTTTATCTCGTCTGCCACTCGTTCGTTGAATCCCATTCAGACAATGAAGGCAAAAACTATGCAAGCACGGTAGCTGTTTTGGATCGATGTACTTGCTCATACACACAGAACATGATAACTCTTCATGAAGGTTGTTCAACAAGGTTTGAATATCCATGCTGACTGTGTTGGTGCTCGCGAAAGTAGGGAGTTACGGTTAAACATGCTACTGCGCATGATCAAAACCATGTGACTGTTCGTTTTTCCCGTGTAGTCCTACAGCTACGGTGAGTTGTTGAGCTGTTTCGCGTAGTCGGCACTACGGAGAACATTTCGCTCGCATTATACCGTCTCGGTAATTCAAAAATGTCGTCTTTTCGTTAAAAAAGTTTTCAGTTCACCTGCTTTAAGTGAGAGGAAAGCGAAATATGTAAGGTGTGTCTAATTTCTGCTCAGATTTACGTTTTTAATCCACCGTTGTGACCTCATTTTTATCTGGCTAAGCTCATATTTGAATAAGCTTAGCAGTTTAATTTATACGCAGAATTCCGATTGACGGCCGAGGAGAAGAGAAATCATGCAGGTAATTTACTCTCTCTTCGCACTTGAAAAGTTTTAATGTTTGTTCGAACTGATTATTGTGTCTTTCTACTTGTGTAACCTTTGTTTATGCGAGTTTTTGTATCGCACTGAGTTGCTGAATGAAAATGATGTAAACACCTTCGAGACAATCGAAACTCGAGTTTATTACTCGTATTTCAATACTTCAAACTAAATCAGATCAGTAGTCGGAAAAGTCCATCTCCTAAATCTAGTAAATGAGCTATTACTATTTCTGTCTATTTCTTTAATATTTGACATAAGAATTCATGGGCAAAAAAATAAAACCTGTGTAACCAAAACTTTGTCTACCAATTTCACCCGACGTCATTGCTGCCTTCAAGTATGGAAGAATTTGTTCATCGTTCTAAAGTTAAGATCACATGCAATTCAAAGTAGACAGACTGCAAATTATCTTAGTTGCTAAAAAATATATATCTACGTGTCACAACTGTTCATAGACTGCAAATTATCTTAGTTGCTAAAAAATATATATCTACGTGTCACAACTGTTCAAAACTGACTTACATTTTTGTGAACTGTGATGAAAACAAGAAGATCTTTGCGTGTTGTTTCCCTCCCGCCTCTTCTATCGTAGTCTACTGTCTGTAGTGCAATCTTAACGTTCTCTATTTGCACGACTCAACCTACTGCTAGTCGAACAAAGGATAACGCTCGTCCAGCCGTAGTTCGTAGTCCGTAGTCTCCGTATCTTAAGCTCCCTAGTGGTAAACGTGACGGAACGGCAAAAACTATGTTGAATATATTAGAGTCTTTTTGTGGATTTTGCGCATGATTGACCTCCAGAAATGATGTTATAAACCAATTAAAAAGACTTACTTGACATGTTTTGACGTTAAATAGCTTGTGAGAATGATTGTAAAATATCCGGCATCTCTTAGAACCGAGTTCAGGGTGGGTGCTGTTCCCTGACCTTTATTCAACTGTTTCACAAAATCAAAAACACTGTTTTTTTCAGGTTCGTTTTTCTTTAATAGAGAGCTGCTTTTTGGTAAGTTTGCGTATTTTCAACAACACCAGACAACTGCAATGATGTCCAAAAGGTTTTGGGACACTTTCCTTTCTTCACGGCAGTCTTTGTTTGGAATTTGCATGTAGCCAGCAATACATATACAACATAAACACCACGTTACCAAGGTTCCCCCCCCCCCACCCTGAGAGTTTAGGTCGATGTGTAACTAAGTGTGTGACTTGGAAGACCCAACACTGTTCATGGGGGAAGGAGGGTTACCAGGCTCTTCATTTGGGGAGCTGTAGCCTAGCCTAAGGATGACACGTAAATGAAACGTACGCGAAAATATGAGTGTGATATAGGTAGAGCGTGCTGGTGGCTCCACAGTTTCCTCCCGTTTTATTTTCGCGATTACGCTTTCTCAATTTCGCGGATCCGACTATCTCGGAGCCTGGAACAGAACAGCGGAGCTGCAAATAGTCAACTAAGACTAAGCGACAGCCGCACGCGAAAGGAGCACGCCACCGCACGTCACTACTATGAAGATATGGATAATTTAGTTTACGATATTTCTTTCTTTCTTTGTCTTTTTTTTCTTTAAATACATGTGCACCGAAGGCGTTCCTTAACAAGTATTTACAAAGTAATCTTTTTAATTAGAAATTGAGATTTGCAAAAAGAAAAAAAGATAATAATAATAAAATGGCATTCAGTTTTTGATAACAAGGTCCATATTTTAAGGGGGAAACCCTGACGCTTATTCTTTCTTTCTTTTCTAATAAATAAACAAATATTAAATAAATCATTTCTTTACGAGAATCTTTTTTTTTCACTCTTCAGTATCTTCTAGTTTAAATTAAATTGCCGTACTGGTTGGAATCGGTTGTGAACCTAAGAGCATTCTGCTCACGCGTGACATCTGACGATATCCCCAAAATGGAGGCTGGTTAAGAGCATTCGTTTGTCACTGTGATTTGACATTTTTCCATTGGGAGTGTGTACATCGTCCCCCAAAAGGACTTTACAGCTTTTCCCAATAGTGACCAACAACAATTTTCTCCTAACAATATCCATACATTGTCAAAAGAAATGGTTACGAGAATTAATCAAATGATCACCAAAGAGAAAATGCTTTGATCTTTTATTAAACTCTCTCAACTGACCTCTCAGGAAATGTATAAATATCAGTTTGGAGAATTTGTATGTGGATATTGGGGCTTAAGGGGTACAATTAACGCAGGTTTGCAATACAGCACAATGCATGCCAGAAATCAAAATAACTTGACCCTAGATATTTAAAAACTACAGTCTAACCTCTCCTTACGGACACCTCTATAATACGGACAGCTCTCTAATACGGATAGTTCGTTTCGTCCCAGAAATGCCAAAAATTATACATTCCCTACCGCTATAATACGGACACCTCTGTAAAGCGGACACTTGGTACTGTCCCTTTGGTATCCGTATTAAAGAGGTCTGACTGTATAAAGATTGCGTCATAATAAAACCAGGGCTGCCCCTAGATACACGTCTCCAGGACCCAGCCATAAAAGCCCTTACTTACGTCACATCATCCTCTGATGACGTCACTAGCAGCTGGCTCCCAGTCAAGGGTGAAAAATATTTGTAACGTCTGGCATCACTGCCATGGGTGAGATTAAGATACTGTTGAATCAATTTACCTTTGTGAAGAGACAGAAACCTGTGGCCTGGGTAGCTGGCTTTTCTATTGGAACGTAAAAGAAGAAAAATCCCAGGCGATAAACCACAAGAAGAAAGGAAAAAATTACTCAGGCTTATTCCTTTCGCGGCCTGGCCGCGAATTTTTCTTCACAAACGCACTCCAACGAAACCGTCTACTACGCAGTCTAAAATGAATAAGGCCCACCACATTTACTTACATGTTTTTTTCTAGAATCCGCTCTCTTACACCATCGGAGTGTCGAAGGGGTGGGGGAAATCTAGTAACACGTGTTTCATTTGATTTTCTTTCTTTGTTTTAATCGCCTCTAGAGAAGCATTAACAGCCTACATATTCTTTGGCTCGGTCTATTATCAGAAGCTAAAACACATGGTGTTGGATAAGATGCACGCTCAGACCCGGTTTTACCTGTTAATGGTGATGTGAGACGATTCGCAAAGACGATTTTGAGTGCAAAGCAGCATGGCAATGTTGGAACAATGTTGCAACCATTCGAAACAATGTCGCAACAATGTTGTAATGTTGCTTTGTGCTAAAAATCGTCGTTGCTAGTCAGGACACTGTGAGGTGATTTGCAGATTTTGTGATTTGGAGATTTTGTTTTGAAGTTTTAATGACTACAGGAGCCAACGATGCTGCGATACTGAGTGCAGAGATACTCCCACAGTGAAGGCGAATTCATTAACATGGTGCAACTCGTGTTGTTTTTGTTCACTACTGCAATAGGAAATTTATCAGAAAAGTAAATAAACAAATTATTTAAGTAAGAAAGAAGTGCCCTGCATTCTTGCTCTCCTTGTGCAGCCGTATTAAATGCTTACTTGAGACGAGATCAACACCGGTCGGATCTCATCCTTGTTGTATCATTTTGGTGAATGACGAGTTTTCGTGTTGCTCCCCACCCAGCTGTAGTGAAACTGTGGGATGAGTCACTTGATCTTTCAAGCCCGTGGAATGAAACTTCCCTCCAGCAAGGTGGTATTGGGTCATGCAATGCTGGCATTCATTTGTTATAAATGAGCTAACTCCTTTCTTACTTACACAATTGGTGAACCCTGTACAGGGGCGGATCTAGGGGGAGGGTGCAGGGGGTGCGCACCCTCCCCCCCCTGAGATGACCTGCAGTTTTCTAATACAACTGGTATTCTGCAAAAAAAAAAAATGGTTTATCGGTGTTGAAGTCAAGAGCAAGAGACGAGTGCACCCCCTCCTAAAAGAAATCCTGGATCCGCCCCTGCTGTAATCCATTCATTGTGTAGGAACACGCTGCTGCTCAAGAGGTATTCCCTTGTTTAGGACATTTTAGGAGGCTAAGGGTTTGGAGAAGGGTTCGGAGAGGGGTATGATTTCGCTAGTCGTAGCGTCAAGTGTTCTGAGTTTTTCTGAGTCGTCGGCTGGTCTTTACAGTAGTCAACTTAACAGCCTTACTCCAGGGTCTTTTCTAGGTTAACTCAGCCCTCCTTTCCGGGGTCTTTGACATATCGCGCGAGATAACGCGAGTTGCTGAAAATACAAGAGGAACGTGGTATCACGACAAAGAATAGAACGGCAGATGTAGAAATCGCAGATATTCTTGGTGTTACGGAGGCCAATGTCTTGATGTTGCTTATGGTCTAGCCTGCATCGCAGGCGTTAAAACGGGAAGGGGGAATTTGGGCGCGCGAGGGAGAAAGGAAAGGAACTCCCTCCCTCCTCCCTTGCGCGTGGTCTCGCGCCCCAATTCCCTTTCCCTTCCCTTTCGAACGCCTGCCACGCAGGCTACTTATGGTCTTGAATCTTACGCTTGGTATCATTGGGTGATCATAAAATCTACAAAATGCCCGCATCTTCATCCTTTAGTGTAAAGAAAGGTCTCGCGCAAATGCTGCTTTATGCATTAGAGAAGGGACCGACGGAGAAAAACGACGATAACAAAAACAGGCAACCCTGGGAGATTTACCGCTGAGCTCAGAGATCTCGCAACATGGTGGAATCGTGCTACTCGTTCAACATTTATGCGGTTTTGATTACGAAGTCACTATCTCCTCGCGCATGCGGCAGGGGTCCTGTGGACGTGGCAGTGAATATTTACAGATGTTTCTGATGGTGAAGATATCGGAACTTTTAGGTCTTCGTATTTTCTGTAAAAAATTCAGGAAGTTTCAAACATTCACAACGTAACCGTGCCAGGTAACGGAAGTTTCCATTGTATGGTATAAAAAATGCATATTTTCCTTGAAG